TCTAGATCTAGGTCTAGAGATCTAGATCTAGATCTAGCTAACTCGAACCTAGATCAATGATTTATGTGCGTCTATCTAGACCTAGGCCATAGATTTAGATCTAGAAGAACCTAGGTCTAGGTCTAACCTGAGCAAGAGGGCGCTGAAACTTTCCGAATTCACAAAAGAGTTCCCCCTACCAGATCTGTATACTTCGTGACTTTGTACCCGGTTACCGGGTCTGTATACACTCCCTATTTAAAATTAATACCTACAGAACGACAGTGACGCAGTCGGTTTAAAAATTGAGGTTCCGTGCGGGGATGTCCGTCCGCACCAAAACTATTTTCGCCCGTGCTGTAGCCCGTCCAACGAAAAGACACGCTTTTTTTAACGGATGACTTGGGACAGATGACATCGATTGTTATCGAGCTACCGTTCCCGGTCTTGTTCCATTTACATCAATATCCGTAAGAAAATAGTTCCGCCTGACTCATATCGAGCAATATTTTATTTTTGCCTCTCAGGAAAAGTGCCCTTCCACACCAATCTGTAATGTTGAAATGAGTATTGCTCGAAAAGACAAAACGGGGTTGTCACGCGTTTAGAGGGCACTCTTTGGGAGAATTAGGGGTCCCGGCCTTATTCCATAGAAATAACACTCGCAATCGGAAACACAAACGGAAGCCGATTAAAAAAGCTGGCTTGAGTTGCCAGGGTCACAATGCCACCCGATGAAGAAAAAAATCAGGATGAAAATATTCTAAATTCGAACGACAAAAAAATACCGAAGACAGCTTTTTTACCCTACTTCCGTTTTTGTTTCCGACTACAAACTCTTAGTGTTATTTCTTTGGAGTTAAGCCGGGACCACTCCTCTCGAAGAATGCCGTTTAGAGAAACGAGGCTAAAAGTAAACGGGATCGAAAGTTATTCGCCAAAAAATCTAGGCCTATGTTTTTGCGTCGGACGAGCGCAGAAAATTTCCCAAACTGAAATGACGGTTCGAGGTCTCCACTTTTTAATTCAAGAATCACTCGCGTTTCTTACTCATGGAATACTGACTTCAAAGTGAACCATTAAAGAGATACATTTATAAATTACAATTTTATTGATCCCAGAGGGGCAGTTTGGTTAACGGTGTCAAACACCGACATTTGCTTAACATTACTGTTGAGTCTAAACTCACTAGATCTGGACCCACTCACTTACTTAGCCATCCGAGCCCCCATCTTTTAATTAGTTAAAACCGTTCGGCTCACCGTGCGACATTTCCAATCAACCACTAAACAACCCTAGATCTAGCTGTACAAAGCCAAGTCCTAGCATTAAGCATTGCCATTACTGGCCTTTGTAGAGCTAAATCTAAGTTTGTTTGAAGTTTGATAACTCATTTGTTAGTGAATGCCATTAGTCGGTAATAATATAATAATAGGATTCTCACTCGGTTAACTAAGCCTTTGGCTCACCGGTGATATTTCCAATCAAACACTTTTCTAAACAGCCCTAGATCTAGCTCTACAAAGTGCCCAGCTCAGATAGATCTAGCATTGCTATTAGATCTTGATCTAGAATCTAGATCTAGATCTAGATCTAGTCATTACTTAGTGAAGCTTTTGTTTTATTAAATAGAAAGTGGCTATTCTCACCCGCCCGGAAGTTCTCGCAAGATCAACTCCTCCCCTCTTCTCTCTCTCTCCGTCTCTTTCTGAATACTGTCTATCGGTGTGGACGATCAAATTGACCAAAACAAAGTTAAAAAATGATGTTAAAACACAAAAGTAAATAAATTTGGTTGTCTACAAAGATGCTACGGCTATTTAACTTTTCGAATCGAGCCGAACTACGCGGGTCGCCATTTTGTTTTGCCCTGAAATTCTCGCGCTACTCCTCTCTCTCTTTCTCTCTCTCTCCACTGCCCACTGACAAAATTGTACGTTTTTAGTAGGCTACAATTGTAATGGAACGTTTGTTCACGGCACAGAATTCTACAATTTTTCTGTTATCACAGTGTAGAAATATGTGGTTTTGCCGGGTGAGAATAGCCACAAGACTCGCCTGCACTATTCTCACTCCGGGTGAGAATAGAGGTGGCCTATTAAATATGGAAGAGGCTAGCCGTACTTAATGACGGCTAGACTGGCAGAAGTACGGCTAGACTCGCAGTCTAGCCGTACTTATTCTTAATATGATGGCTAGACTGACCATTTAACAAAAAAATAGGCCTACTGAATTGTAAATATACATTTTTAGTGTGCAGTACCTACCTAAAGTATTTGCATTTGAGACGAAACCAGGTGCCTTAATGACAGTGTATGTATTTGTATTTTAAACCTCCTGTTTTCTAATGTTAATAGGGCCTAAGATAAGTACGGCTAGACTGGCAGTCTAGTCGTACTTAGCCAGGCTAGCCGTACTTAAGGACGGCTAGACTGTCAGGCTAGCCGTACTTAATATTGATGGCTGAATTGTAAAAGAAATTTTTAGTTTGCAATGCCTAAAGTATTTGTATTTCAGACAAAACAAAAAGGTGCCTTTCTGACTTGCATGCATTTGAACCTGAATAATTACTAGATCTAGATCTAGATCTAGATCTAATGAGACCTGTGTACTTAACAGGCTTGAGTCGATAGGGCCAAACCTAGATCTAAGTACGGCTAGCCACTTCGATTAAATATTAGTTATAAATTAGTATTAGAATCTTCTAGATCTAGATTCTAGATCTAGAGATAGTATTAGTATTAGTATTAGGTATTAAGGTTAGGCTCACCGTGTGCTATTCCCATTATACACAAAACCCTAGATTTAGCTCTACAAAGGCCAGTCCTACCCCTGTACACTGCATGAAGTTAGAATCACTACAGACTACATCTATACTAAGTTAGGGACTAAGAGCTAAGAAGTACTAAGAAGGAGAAGCAAGCCTAGCTGTGAGTCTTGTTTGGTTCTACACGACTGATACAACATCTAGAATCTAGATCTAGATCTAGATCTAGATCTATACTAGCCTATGCAGTTCCAGTGGACATTAGTTAGTTATAATAAGTTAGGGACTAAGAAGAAGTAAGAAGGAGGGGCAAGCCTAGGCTAGGCCTAGGTCTGGATTCTAGGTCTAGATCTGGTCTCTCTCCCTTGGTTCTAGATCTACATGATACAACATCTAGAGTCTAAATCTAGATCTAGATCTATACTAGCCTACACTGCACAGCTTTCAGCTACAATAAACCACCACAGCCATCTGATCATTACCTTAGGTTCTGAATTCAGATCAACAAGGCACAGACAACACGTTCGCAACTGTATGCAGTTTCGCTTTCGACAACGCGGCTTCCGCTTGGCAAATGTTTATGTTTTTCCTAATTTCTGAGCACAAACGAGGGGTGGTGTGCAATCTACCGAAGAAAGGCGATGGAAGCCGTGACTGAACGTAAAAGACCAAGCGAGTTAAATTATAAAATACAGAGAGAGAGAGAGAGAGAGAGAGAGAGAGAGAGAGAGAGAGAGAGAGAGAGAGAAAGAGAGAGATGGGGAGTAGGTGTATGGGGAGATAACAACTTTCAAACGATTGTCTTTCTCTTTCACGAAGGGTTTGTCCACTGAAATAAAATACGCATACAGTGCGTCTTTATCGAAGAGCGCAGACCTCCGGGACACAACGGGAAGAGCAGATTTGCACACCTCGTCTTTTTTTCTGTGCTTTTGTTCGTCTGTACTTCGGTCTGTAGTGTAATAATGGTTAAGGCTGGCTTTTCTTCTTCTTCTTCTTCTTCGTCTTCTTCTTCTTCTTCGTCTTCTTCTTCTTCTTCTCCTTCTCCTTCTCCTTCTCCTTCTCCTTCTCCTTCTTCTTCTTCTTACTGCTTCCCCACCACCACTTTCTCTCATCTCTCATTTGTAAACAGCTACTAGTATCGATTACTCAATGTACATTACTACTCAAATTTTTTAGCTCCCCGTTAAAAATCTTTAGGCTTAGAACTCAAATTCCCATATTTAGGATAACAAACATAAGTTTTAAGGAACAGAGCCCCGTACAGTGGTTTAAAATGTTTGCAGTGTGAGATATGACGTGCGATTCTTAAATAATCGGGTATCGATATTTGATAATTTCGATAATATACCATTAAACGGTATTTTCAACAAATTTCTTTCTTTCCGATTCATGCCGATTATCAGTGTGTTATAGAGGAAGGTTTTCTGGTTCTAATGACCTAGAGAGAGAGTGAGAGAGAGAGAGAGAGAGAGAGAGAGAGAGAGAGAGAGAGAGAGAAAGAGAGAAGGAAAAGAGAAGAGAAAGAGAGAGAGAGTGAGAAGAGAAGAGAGAGAGAAGAGAAGAGAAAGAGAAGAGAAGAGAAGAGAGAGAGCGGAAAGAAAGGGGAAGAGAGAGAGAGAGAGAGAGAGAGAGAGAGAGAGAGAGAGAGAGAGAGAGATAAAGAGGGTGGGTTGGAGCAGAGAGAGGGGGGGATTAGGGGTTATGGGGTGACAACATCTTTGCCCCTTATTTTCAAAATATTTTTTTCTCTTTCACGAAAGGTTTGGCGATGATTTGTATTTTCCGCTAGACTGGAAAAATATACGCCCAAAGTGAGCTTTTTCTATGAGCGCAGACCTACGGGACACACCGGGAAGTGCTGCTGACTCTCTCTCCCTCTCTTTCTCTCTCTCTCCTCTCTCTTTTTCCTGAGTGTGTGCGTACATGCGTGCAAGCGTGTGTGCATGCGTGCGTGCGTGCGCGCATGCATGCATGTGCGTGTGTTTGTGTGCGTACAATATATGTATATGGCTGTCGCATTGGTCTTTTATCGATAATTTGTCTCACTTATATTATATGAATGTACGAATAAGAAAACAACTCAAGCCCGACTTTCGACTGGAAATGTTTTAATGAAATATACCTATTTCGGGTCGGACTGCCAAGCGCGCGCGAGTGTATGTGTGTGTGTGTGTGTGTGTGTGTGTGTGTGTGTGTGTGTGTTGGTGCGTGCGGGTTTGAGGATGCGTGAGAACTCACCGTCTCCTCGTCGCTGGCAAACGGCTGGCGCTGCTCCTCTCCGCGAAGATTCCGAGATCGGGGGAAAGAGATGGGGAAAAATGGACCTGACCAAAACTGTTACGGTTACCAGGTCAGAGGGCTTGGAAACGTTATTTAAAATTAATACCTACAGAACGACACTGACGCAGTCGGTTTAAACATGAGGGACGGAGCGGGGATGCCCGTCGACACCAAAACTATTTTTGACGGTGCTGTAGCCTGTCCGATGAAAAGACACGATTTTCTTATGGATGACTTGAGACAGACGGCACCGATTGTTAATGTTATCGAGCTACCGTTCCCGGTCTTGTATCAGTTTGTCCCATTTACATATCAATATCCGTAAGAAAATAGTTCCGCCCGACTCATATCGAGCAATATTCTGGCCTCTCTAAGAAAAGTGCCCTTCCACACCAATCTATAACGTTGAAAAAAGTTTTGCTCGAAAAGACAAAACGGGGTTGTCAATCGTTTAGAGGGCACTCTTCGGGAGAAGTAGTCCCGGCTTATTCCGTAGAAATAACACTTGCAAGCGGAAACAAAAAAGGAAGCCGATTAAAAAATTAATGTGGGAAATATTCTAAACTTGAAGTAAGGAAAAAAAATTACCGAAGACAGCTTTTTTACTCGACTTGTGTTTTTGTTTCTGACTACAAGTCTTAGTGTTATTTCTATGGTGTTAAGCCGGGACCACTTCCCTCGAAGAGTGCCGTTTAGAGAATCTAGGTTAAAGTAAACGGGATCGAAAGTTATTCGACAAAAAATCTAGGCTTATGCTTTTGTGTCGGACGAGCTGCGAAAAATTTCCCAAACTGAAATGACGGTTCGAGATCTAGGCCTACTCACTTAGTTGACCTTAGTCACCCGAGCCCCCAACTTTTAATTAGTTAAAACCGTTCGGCTCACCGTGTGACATTTCCAATCAAACACTAAACAACCCTAGATCTAGCATTAAGCATTGCCATTATAGTCATTAGTTAGTGAATGCCATTCTAAGTCGGTAATGATAATAATAGTAATAGGAA